TTTCAAGAAGATGCGTTCAGGAGAAGATGGATGTTCAGTTTTTGTAAATAAGATGCAAATGAGAGTTTTGCTTCTCTGTCCAATAGTCTGTAACCGGTCAGTTGGCATTCCTCAATAAATAACTCCGCAGCGAAGGCCTTCTTCCTTCTCACTATTTCTACTCATCATGTAGTATAGCAGTTGCTCTGTGATGGGACAAACACAACGATTCACACAACAGACCAGCGGGCATCGGCGCGAGATATCGCTGCCATTTTTCATAACGGAAACTACTCACAAGGTTGCTGAAATCTCTTCGACAGCCCAAGATCGGTTCCCGCGTTCCTATTTCGGCTCATCACGTAAGCACGGTCCTCGAGTATCCGTCAACCTCACACTCTACTTGAACCCAGAGGGATTCATTTGAGTCTCCCGTGAGGACCCAGCAAACCAAATTTGTTTACCAATTGGTGTATTTCGCTAATTTCGTGTCATTTGGTCTCAAGTAGAACATAAGTTTGACGGAAACTCGAGGACTGCGTCAACCTGATTAGCCCAAAGACGCACCGCAGTAGAACACAGATTAGAAGAAAGGAGGAAAGTTACCTCTGTCATGTACTTCAAAGAAAGCGGATATCCGAGAAGGAGCTTGAAGAAAAAAACGCTCCAACAACAACCGGAACATCGAGATTGGACAATTAATTTGGTAGCTTAAAAACACCACAAACGAGAGATCCAGCTGGATTCCAGTTGAGTCTCTGGCAAAACCAAGTTAGTTTGCAAATGAGTGTATATTCGCTAATTTCTGCAGTTTGGTTTTAACTAGAACATAAGGTCGACAAAACACGGGGACTAAGCCTATCTGATGAGCCCCAAAAAGGACGAAACCGGTCGTGGGCTGTCGACGAATTCTCAGCAAACTTATGAGTAGTGGGTCATTTTTCCCCCGAAACCGATGAATTCATTGTACTGACGTTCAGCAAACCATGATACAATTAAATGAGTAGCCCTTCCGTACAACAAGAGCTTATCTGAATTCGCTACCAGGTTGAGTAAAATAAGAAATTATCTTAGTGTTGCATCAACAAGGTGCTACATCGAAAACCTGTCTAAAGATCGAATAAAAAGGCTAGGAAAGCCGGAAAAGTGATGTAGTTTACTGAACCAACTAAATCGAGTGCCGCACAGAGTCCCAACTTACTGCGCGAGTGGAAGAACACAAAGCGGCTGTCAGAAGATACGATTCACTATCACTATCACACGAAGATCAAGAAGGACACAGTTTTAAACTAGAAAGTTTGAAAATCGTAGCACACGGAAGTACAAGACTTGAGAAGGAGTTCCTGGGAGTCCGCAAGGGATTCCACCGACCGGTCTATCGGTATCGAACCTACATATCAGATCGCAAAATCAGTCAGCCTCAGAGATAAGACCTGAGGACGAATAAAAGAGATTCACCTTGGAGATGAACGAAGGTCAAAGCGGAAGCGGGCATCCGGGTAGAGAGCATGTCAGTGTGTCACTTCACTGCGGAGTTGTTTGTCGGACAACACCAACTGAAAAATTACAGACTATTGGACAGGGTAGCAAAACTTTCATATACATTTTGTTTATAACAACTGAGTATCCGCCTTCTTCTCGAACGCGTCTCCTTGAACTATCCTGGATATTCATTGACTATCACTCGAACGTAAACGAATTCTACAAAGCAATTTCATAAGGTCCGTAATAAATCTCACTTTTCACTAGACGCGAAGCGGTTTACAGGAAATCTACATACTACTCGCACGCCTCCCCAGTAGTATCCACCGTTACACTGACTGCATGGCCTGACTGTATCAGGATGGAGTTATGTAACTCCATTTTTCTCATTGGTAGGAACTTGATTCCCCTATGTGAGGAGTATTATGACCTCGATCAGATCAATGGACCTTCGAGGTCATTTCTTAAATTTGGTAAACGGTCTCCCACCCAAGGGATCCAAGACGTAAAAGGGCTGCTTATATAAGTTAAAACTAACAAGCTTGATGCAAGTTTGAGCCCAGTTCGAATACTATCCTGACCATGTTGTATTATCCGTACTGAGTAGAGGGAATGTCATTGTGTCACTGTGCGAGCTCGAAACCTGAGTGACGCTATCCGCGCTACTTCTATGTGCGGGTCTTTAACATAGGCCTCAACAGAAGAGAGTTTGACAGCATGGATTACTGTTTCAAGTAGGGATGGTCACGGTGCCCGGATAAACTTCATCTGTTATTCGTATTCGGTACCCTTCTAATGACTTCAGATGTCCCTGTTTTGTATGGAATGACCGCTCTTCTGATCCTTGATGTTGGCACCAATACCCGTCTTAGTTGCCGCTTAACTGAAACCATTCAGAAGGGAAAGATTTTACGCTCGGTGTTGGTACATTTGAAGGATCGCCATCCGGTTGATAGGACTAGGAACTGCGTATACAAAATAAAATGTAACGACTATACGAAAGTTTATATAGGTCAGACAGCCAGGGAATTGCACACCAGAATCAGCGAGCATAAGCGTTCCATTATTGGGCCACTGAGAAACGTAGATGAATATCAAGTGATAGTCAGAGATTCGACAATGGCACCAGACACGGGGATTTATAAAATGTGGACATCTTTAGATGGGGTTTAAGATTCACACCACAGTGACTGGTGGCCGAGACAGTGGAAATCGCCAAGCATCCCAGCGTAAATAGAATAGAGGGGATGGAGCGAGATGGTCCAAGTGGTTAGAGCGAGAATTTACTGACCAAAAGGTCTGCGGTTCGAACCCAACCTCTGTCTATCGACCTCCCCTGTTTAGGCTTGGGCAACCTGGCATTATCCCAGCCCTCGTGCAACCTTCGGGTGGCATGGCAGGTAGGCACCGGAGGGGTGCTAAAGCTAAACGATTTTGATTTTAGAATAGACGGGGTAGAACTTGCAAACCTGTGGCGAGCTGTCTTAGATCAGCCGAGATGACACGAGGCAGTGTGCAGTTATCAGCGAAATGGTCTGGGTCTAAAAGTACAAAATACAAGTAGAGCCAGATCCAATTAACCAACCCCACTCCCATCTCCAAACCAATTGCCCCGGCACCCTTTGACGAACACGGGTGAACGAAATCTACAAGCGACCCCAAGAGGAATTTTCCATTAAGGTATTTCTAGGCTGAAGAAGCACGGACGAACAATCCGGGTCCAACAAATCCTCCCCCAACCAATCTATCATAAATGTTAGTCAGCTCCACTAACCAACAAACAGGATCCTCCCCCAACCAATTTATCATAAATGTTAGTCAGCTCCACTAACCAACAAACAGGAACATCAGACTGAACATCCGAAACTGATCACGTCACTAGTCATAAGGAATCTCACGGATTGGTTCCCTGATTGCCTTAAAACCCAATCAACCTACTTACTTACTCACTTGGCCTGAGGAAGTTTTTGGGTCAAAAGCGAAACGTCGCCGAGCAACAAATCGATCGATTGTTTACCAAACCTCTCTGAAAAGTTGCTCTTCGAAGAACCAGCTAACAGTTGACCACCTGATGATACATCCATGATCAAAAGATGAAAGGGGTTATGTTTTATGAGTTACTCACACAATCGATCAGCAGCTCTTGGTCGGACTGTTAATTCTCCAGGTATTAGCCAAGAGGTCCGGTGTTCGAGACGTCCTTGAAAATACTGGGGTGAAAACTACTGGTGAGTTCCAACAAAGTTCATACAGTCGAATAGCCCTTCAGGGCCTTTTCTTACGGATTTACTTCACATACAGGATGTTAACTTCCAAAACCTCAAAGTACCCTCAAACTGACTACTGGTGGTCGATAGCTGCACACGAAAAATTCTTGTTCCTTCCAAATTGAATATCCGTTTGCCGCCGTGGGGGATAATCAAATAAGGTACAGCATTTTTGGGCGTGTTTGTTTGTTTTAGATTCACATTCCTTACAAAAAGTTTTCAAGTAAGCATGGCCAAAAATCAACAGTTCACCTGAATAATGTCACGCAGTTGCATATCACAAGTTCGTACGAAAAGTGAGGATACCGGAAGTGAACAGTTCGCTTACAACTGATAACCTATTATGATCGATAATGACTGATTAATGAGTTCATATTGTTTGTTCTGGCGCTTTATGGTATAAGTTTACTGAGAACTTGGCTGCCCATTAACAGAAACGCCTCAACGCGACCGCCGTCGACACTAGTGCCAACTTTTCACTTCATTTAATTGGACTACTTATCTGTTATCAGTAGTGTATATTCCCGCGACATACATACGACTGGATCTGAATGTGCTTCCCAATGAGGGCGACCAGTTCCAATTTTTGAAGAGGAACAAGTTGAAGCTTGGGAAAGCCCATGAGGCCCATGGGATGAAACCAAAGTCATTTACACGGGAGCTCAAAATGATGGAGGAAGTGACCACAGTGTACTACTGTTCCCGACGCACTACTGCTTGGTAGCGGTGATGGCTGCATTAACGAGCCTCAATAATCCGATGATGTGAACAAATCGGATGAGTTGTGACCTTTGATTCCAACAAGCTAACATGAAATCTATCTAATTTACTGTTTTTTGGATTCACAGTGTACTCAGTGTTGTGCAACTGACCCAACCCTCACTCCACTCCGAGCAGAGGATGTTCCACAAAATGAATTGTCATCCCCTCATGGTGGCGTTGGAAAATGAACTCGAGTCTCTGTTTCCAAAGACAGCTTCAGCTTTTCTGTAAAGAAGACAGGCAGAGGTGCTCCTTCCGGTCCTCAGTTGCCGCCAAGTCAAGCTTGAGGATGTCAAAATGGCCTCTGTGGTTGCCGGAAATCACCTATAGATGATGCAAAACTGCATTTTATAACCTGTTTGCTTTGCCCTCCAAAGACTGTGCTCTTCCAAGATGAAGGATTCGATCAAAGCTTTTGTTCCGAGATTTGCGCTTGTCTTCTTCGAAGCAACTTATCGCACATTTCTCCCAGAATTCCAAAGCCAGTCCGCGTGAAGTTGCCCTCACAGATCAGGTTTTAACTCCAAATACGGCCATTGTGATCAGTATGCCTCGGACGGTTGTGGAGTGTTGAACTCGTTGTAGTCCATTACGCGCCTGTAGAAAAACATAATCACCAGTGTAATGGTGCGTACTGCTGATGAAGCGCGTGAGTAGATTATGGTCTGATGTGTAGGCGTCGCCCTCTCATCCCGGCCGCCTCGGCCAGTGTAATGTACTCCGCTGCGGGAGATTCCCTTGTGGCGACTCAGTCCATCTTCTCAGGGCTGTTTCTAGCCGCGTCCTGGCAGACTTCTCTGGGAGCCTTTTGGAAAGACCTTATTCCGATCTTGAACTGAGAGTGGGTTTGGCTGAACTAACTTCTAGATAAATGTGTAATGGCAGTCAAGGACCTGATTTCAAAAGTCCAGCATGGGGCGATGGTTCTAGTAAATCACCAATCAGCAGGTTTTGAGCATGTTTGTTACATTTATCGGAGGCTCATATTAGGATGAGACATGTGTGCTGCCCATTTAAATGCGGCGGCCAAATCGATATTCGCGGGAAAACTCGCAAGGCTTTCAGACCAGCAGCGAGCCTTCCCACGCTTGGCTCCGAGTCACTAAATATCTGGAGCAGGTGATCCTGGCAAGCAGAAAAAAGAATTGGGTTTAGTCATTTTGGTGAGCCTCATGAAGTCTGAAGAATTTCATGCAATAATCGGGTAACAAGACAGAAACGAGAGTCACTGGGCACTGGTACGACCATGTTCAAAGGCAGTATCTATGTATGACATTACGTTTATATTTGGATTACATTACTATGGTTGGGTGACATTGCAGCAGGGAGGCCAAAATGAAAGGATTACTGTACGACCTTAGTCCACCAAGTGGTTCATATTGAACGGAGGAGACTTCGGATCGCAGGAGGTGTGTGCTCATGGCATCGGAAAGTTATTGGAATAATTACTCTATATGTGCTTATCATGAAATGACAGAATAAAAGGACCGGAGAAAACGGTGAACCAGCCCCAAACGTAATGGGACTACATGACTGCCAACAGAATAACCGTTTTCGTTGAGACAGATTTAGTTGGTTTTTTTACTTGCTCTTGATGGATGAGTTTTATTTTTAGTAACACTTTTGGCCCGCCTAGAACTTTCCACGTGAGCTTCATAAACAGCCCGTTTCCGGCTACACGTGACATGCCCGTACGCATCAGTGATCAATAGATCAGCTGATTCGCACGTTCATTGGCTTTCTGGTTTGGCTAAGTGCACCAGGTGATCAAGCGGCTATCCAGACTCGGTATTAAAAAGGCATTTAGAAAATTGAGGAACATTGCGCTGAACAGTGGAGAGGAATCACATAAGTCTCGAGCAAGAAAAACTGTGAAACCGAGAAGACTAATTGGTGAGCACCATGGTTTTTACGACCTGTCCTTTTGGTCAGCACAGATGGAGGGGTTATAAAACTAGAAACGAACAATTCACACAAGTGAAACACGAAATAAATTGAGTAAAAGTGTTTACGTTCACGTGCTTACGTCACGACCGACTAGACTGAGTGACCGCCGGTCACGTGAACAGACCATGAAGACCCACGTGACAGTTGACCATTCAATCAGTCGATCATGGCGTAAACAGATTTCACCCGTTCGCCCGCGACACCACTTTGACCTTGTTTCCATTGCTCGGACCATAACAAGCTTGTTTTATTAGACGGCGACCTTGAGGGCCTATCGACAATCAGGTAACTTTTCAGGTAGCCTTTTCATGAAAATTATTAATGACATTACCTCTTCAATAAAAACTAAAAGTACAGATTTCATGTTTTCTTTTTTTCTTTTTTTGGGTGGTGGGGCTTATCAGTAAAAGATCCTCGTTCGCTGTTTAGGTCAGTTAATGTGTGTGCTGGCAGGCCGAAGCAGTTGAGTAAACTACGCCACAGTGTTACCATGTGCATTCCGGATGTTGGAACATACAGCTGGGGGTGTGGAAGTTGTCTGAACGGCTGTCAACCAATGCTTCAAGGTCGACTCAGATTTCCTGCGAATCTTTCGGTAGCACAATGCCGGATCTCTTGGTGTTATCCTGAGTGTTGCCAGCCTACAAATTTCGTATATTTTTTTAAAAGTACGAACAGTGCCCTTATGAACTCGATATTGAACCTCAAAACCCTATTAACCTTCCGTTAACGGCGGAGATGTCGAAATTATGGTGTAGCACTGTTCCACAAACTGGAACCAACAAGCGAAATCATCAGCAGTACACAAAGAGTTCCAACCCCGCAATCTTCCGGTCCAGTGCTTAACCACTAGCGGCTGATTAGCTCTGACTTGGACAGGACATACCGCCACTCAACTTTCAGTTACGGAACCGCATGACGTGGTCGCATAATGAGAGGATCCTCGAGTTACACTCATCTTGTAAAATTATTCCCCCTTTGAGCTAATTATCGATCAAAAGAGGTTTGATTTGTTTGCTTGTTTATTTTCGCTGGGGATTTTGACCTGCCGATGAATCACGATATTGATCCGTCGTTCACCAAGGATGAAACAGTTGAGCAGGGTGAATTAGCAGCAAGAAATCTCTATTGAGCATTGAACCAATTTCTTCTCGAAACCAGTGTAACTGCAATCGACAAGGGATTGTGAAATTAACAAGTCTCGTTGATTTACAGGAGAAAAACAAGTGATTGGTTTCAACCATCCACGTGAGTTCATTTTCACCAGCCTGTTACAAATAATCTCGCAGTGTTTTGTTGCGACTTCGGTTGGAAGACTTTGAACAGAGAGTGTTGTGTTTACCATTGAACTGGTTTTAAGTCATCTGGCGCTATTGGTTGCTGGGCAGTGGTCACGCTAGCATTCTTTTGAGGTAATTGTCGAAGGTGGTGTACGGTTATTACTGCGTCCACCAGTGATTATAGGCGATGGCGGACACACACACACACGTACAGTTATCGTTTGTCGTGGCCACCACAAGTCCATCGTGGTACTTCGAGTGTATATAAAGCTTACAGCAACACAGGGCAGCCGCACACGTCTTGGCTAACTGGAATCGTGTGGGCAGGCTATTCGGAACAGGGCCTCGATGCTGTTTGTCGGAATTTATTTTGCGATTGGCCTGAGTGCCGTTTTCGTGGACTGTAGACCACGGGTACGCATTTCAAAGGTTTTTCGTATGCTTTCCTTTAGTTAATATTGTTTAGGGTTTTAAAAGAGAGTTTTCATTGAATAGTTGTCATAAACTTTTTTATAAAAAAACTGTTAATTTGTCATTTTTCTTTTCTCAGTCAATTTCAAGGGACAAGCCACATGCTCAATTAGAATGGAGTGGACGGTTGTCAGACAATCAGACAATTCATATATGGACGGTGGCGTCGAAAGGACTGTCTGCGGAGATCTTGAATCCGGCTCGGATCCGGGTTGATATCGGACCCTCAAATTCCAGCCAACATGCCATTCGTCTGGTATTCGATCAAGAGCATCGACTCCGTTATTGTGTGTTCGGCGCAGACACTGTCGGAAGGCCAGTCAGTCTGGACGACACGGATTTACGGAACAGGTGAGTAGAATGAACATGTTCAAGTACACGGGTGGTACAAAACGGGATTCGCGCTTTAGATTAAAAATCTTACTGGATGACTACCCAGTCTTGTGAACGAAATCGTGATGACCTCTGACCATTAAAAATCACGGACATACGGGGCTCCGACCTCGGCGACCGCAGATTGGGCAGTTCCATTGGAGGAACAAAAGTTTAATTGCCCAAGAAAAGAAAGTTTCTATCCCTGGTACAGTGGAACCATATCACAACAGGCATGTTGCTATATTAGGTTTTTGGAGCCATTTGAGCAAGCTTATTTCCTAAACTGATTGACTCATACAGGTAGGGAATGTATACCATTAGAATTTCGCCTTTGCTGGCCTACAACTATAACGACGTGCCTCTTAGCAAAGCGTCTCTTGTTGGTTCTCGATGTCCATTTGAATACTTGTCATCGCCAGTCCACGACGAGACATCAGCAGTGCCGCTTCTCATGATACAGGAGTCAGTTCCCAGGCACCATTCAGCCCCCCGAGGGCGCCGTAATTCGATGTGACTTTGGGCCGAATCCGATATTATCCTCATCTGAGGATACCATCGCTATCCACAGGATCACTCCAACTTGATGACGGCTCGCACGTGAGTTCAAATACATACGGGTGGAATTCCACATCTCGAAATTCTCGCCATACAGATTTAAGGTTTGAAGTTTCTACAATAGGGTGTGAATCATGATAGAATCAACCTGTTTCTGCAATTCCAATGGTCAGTGTCCCGATGAGGATGATGGGTATATCAGAGCTCACTTTTTCCTATTCACTGCATTCCCGGTTCTTTGTGTACAGTCTGCGGACCTCAGTGGATCCCTACCCTCGACCTAAAACAACAATCGAAGATCACTTTAATGTACGGTGAAAACCTTAAATGAGCGGTTCCTCAATAAGGTAGGTTTGGGAGATCGGAAGANAAACTACGCGGAGATCGCCTTCAGAGCAACCGGCTGCTAGTTAGGAGCTATATAGGCACAGGCAGAAGAGGAGGAATTCACCCACTCAACCCCGCACTGACGATGTCACCTCGATTGGTGGCGAACAGACCAACAACCAAACAGCGCACCTGAGCTACCTACATTCCACAACATTGCTAAGGTGCCCTCTATTGCTTGAGGAATAGAATAAACGGGGTGGATGAACTCCGAATACACATTGCATCGGTTAGAGGCTTTAAAAAAAATCCATTTTCGCTTCCTTGGTTTGTTTTTCATGTGTGTTTGTCCGCCGCAAGGAGGTGCTATCGAGTGAATACTAATCACCGTTAAAGTCGAATCGGTTTAACTGAGATGGGCTCGAAATCGATAATCACAATGCGATGTATGCGTTCGATCGTGCGCGTGCGTGTGTGTGTACGCGCGTTTGCAGGGCCAGATTAACGTGTGGTCAAGACCCGCCTGCACGCCACACAGTCCTCCTAAGCTTGGAAGACTTGTTGCCTGAGGTACTGCGTGACCATTGTTTCAATTTAGAGTACAGCATCCGTGTTTCTGGGGCGAATCGCTATTCTACTGGTCGATCACACCCGGAAAGTGATACATACTGTTTTCGACAGTAAGCTGTGCGAAAGCGCACATCTCTTCGGTCATTAAAGTGGCCGTGGATTAAGCCTCAGATCTTCGTATGCAATACACGAGAGTCAGTGAAAGAACTGAGACGCAGAGGCCTCCCCAGAGTCTACGCCGGAAACGCTGCGATTTATGGAATATCACTACTAACTTACTCTTAAGGTTGAGATCCAGCTCGCTGTCACGGACAAACTGCTGCTTGTCGTGGTGGCTTGTGTGCCTCCCTGAACTGTTGAGTTATACCGGGGGTGTGTCCACGCGACACTCACTGTCTATCATACCGCGTTGGTCAATGGCTACAGGTCTTTCGAACACAGTCTCTTGGTCCTCCAGGTTGGGGGTTGAAACATGTGTAGCGACTTGTTCTTTAAAAATCGTAATGCACTTGCATCTCCTGCCAACCAGTGCTGATTTGCGGTCAGGCTTATGAGCCAAAGACCATGAGTGAGGACCCTAATCGTCCTCCTCTCTAGGTTTAAGTCCCCTAGTTACATCACAGTTCACGTACAACCATGATACTTACACTCAACAACACTCCCATGCCACATCGGCCGTCACGTGGTCCCATCAGCCAGGTCGCCTCACTTGCTGCAAACAGCAGGGTGGGTAAGCAAACAATTCACAAACGAAAGATTCGGCCGGGTTCCAGGTGAGTCTCTCGCCAACCAAATTTGTTTGCAAATGAATGTATTCCCAAAAAGCGTATAAATCCTGAAGCCTTTCTTCCGTCTCTTCAGTGTAAATTAGTTTAACCGGCGGCCTGCTATGAACACTGACCGGCCACGTCGTGGATGCCAGGTTGCCTTAAACACAACGGCCGAGCCAGGCCTCACTTGGTTGTGTGAGTGCAACCAAAATGTCGATCAATGACGAGGCATCATCTGTAGTCTTGTTTGAATTCAAACTGGTAGATCTGCTCCAGGAGTGTACTGTCTAATCGATTTTGTTTCCTAGAAGAGGGATTTTCAAATTTTCTGGATCTAGAAACTTGGAAAACAGCTTCAAACATTGGCGACGTTGATTACTTACCTTCAGCCACGAGTCCCGGTTGTCACCGATAAATCCCAGGTGAAACAAAGGTGGTCTGCTTGAAAAGAAAATCACAACCATGTTGTGGACACGCTGAAGCAGCAGGAGATTTTTCTTCCCAGTTGTCCCTTCATGAGTGCTCGGGTGTGTTGTATGGAGATCTTAAAGCTCGGCACTATCTAGAAGATCTTTCTGAAATGATGGGAACCTATGCTGCGGTTTATTCATTGAGGCATGCACTCTGACGTGTTGTAAGAGATAATGGCTTCTGATGCAATCAACGACGATAATTGCCGTCATATGGTGAGCTTAATGGTGCGCCAGTCGACAGACTAAGATACGGAGAAGGTGTTACCTCATTTGTTTAGCTGGATCTTTTCACGGATGAACGATATCACCCTAATCCCTTTAGAAACGCGAAACACGGTGGAGCGGACTCGTGAAAGAACATTTCGTGATCACTTCGGAGATGACAGTTTCTCAGGTAGAACAGTTTGACATCAACATCAGTTTGACCATGTTCAGTAGGCTGAGAAAAAGTTTGCAGTCAATAAAGGAAACTACTCACAAGGTTGCTGAGAATTCGTTGACAGCCCACGGCCGGTTTCCCACTTCTTGGGGCTTATCAGGTAGGCGCAATTCCCGAGTTTCTGTCAACCTTCTGTTCTACGTGAACCTAAATTGGACTGTTTTTGAGAAACACGCTCATCTGCAAATCTATTCGGTTCTCACAAGAGAATTAATTGGGCGAAACCGGTCGTGGGCTGTGGAAGAGTTTTCAGTGGCCTTGTGAGTAGCTTTCTTTATGAACAATATACTGCGATATCTCGAATATCGTACCAACTGAAGCATGAGGCGGCCTGTGTGCAGCACATTCAGTTGTAGAATATCACAAACGAGAGATTCAGTTGAGCCTCTCGTGAAAACCAAATTAAATTTGTAAGTGTATTTCCCTCGCACTCACCGGTAACTTCTCCATGACGGCCGCACTGATTGGACGCTACCAATGCCGTCGTTCCCCGGCTCGAGTCCAAGTTCTAGGTATCCTCAATAAGGGCATGACAACTTCACCGAATACGGTGGTGTACCGCTCCAAGAAAAACAACTATCAGGTTACGAACTGTTTCCGTGGTCATCATTCTGAGACCATATGCGGTCTCTTGCGAGTTTTACCCCAAGAAGATCTCGGAAACGAAACACCATTAATGCTTAGGTGGACAAAATCATTCAACATGGTGTCGAATTTTTGGAGTGAGAGAGCAAGTACGTATCGGCAATAGGAATACCGAGCGTTTTCATATCACTGCACTGTACGCTTGTTCTAGTTTGTGGATCACATGGGTTGTAGGATGACCCTCTTCACTATATTCCTAGTTATTAAGATCAGAGCCCGTCAAGTCCCATCTTATCGGGCTAGAAAGGCCGACAGCGTCACTCTGTTCGCAGGAATCCACCGTTACTCACCAAGCTCCGTCCTTGAAAAGAAAAGTCTCCTGAATTCTTCTTCAGCCTGTTGGTGTTGAATCAATGTCCTTCAAACTACAGGAACTAAAACCGAATACCCAACCAACTGATCACGTGTTTGTTTTTGTGAAATCGATACCCGAATGTCCTTTATCTAGTTCGATCTATGAGATGACAAGTTTATTGCTTCGTAACCACCACTTCCAACTTTTTTCCCATCAGAAATCCCATCTATCTGGAGCACTTCTCCTTCACATCGGCCAAGGAATTCTTCGAAGCATGTGAAAAGTTCACAAGAGCCTCGAATGAGCAAACCAGACTAGTCCGTCGGCCGAGAACTGCTCACCGGGCTAACCCGATGATAATGCCTGGTACACTCTGGTGCGGTAAAGGTAATTCAATGACAATCGTGTTATATTCAAGAAAAGTCCGTGCAACTGTACTGACCAAAAGTGATTGGAAGAGCAGCAACGGTTTTTAGGCATTGTAGTGAGCCATCTCGAACCTCGTAATCACTGAAACAGCACATTCAGCTGAAAAAAGCCAGCGAAAGGAGAGATTCTATTGGGATACACTTGAGTGTGTTTTGTGTAATTCCATCACTGTTTTGCAGATGATCGAACAAGTTAAGTCGTCTTGTGCGAGGGTAATATATTTGTGGGATTCAGGTGTTCCGGCTCATTCACGAATGATATCGATTTTAAAAGTTACGAGCCGAATTCCGAGGGAGACTTTTTTATTCCGAGGTGTACACATGTACAACGGGGTTGTGAATCATGAATTAAAACCAACTTTTGCAAGATGCACACTGAAATAAAGAGTTATTGATCAGATATTTGCCTCCTCAGTAACATGATAATATTAGACGCATTCTTAAATCAGAAAATGGCGCGTTTCGTTCCAAAACAAAGGAATCTAATATGTGCGCTCCCTTATTCAGTCGGTTTGGGCAGTGATCCAGTCTGTGGCCCGAACTTCCAAGAATATAAAGTTACCCCGAAAAGAAGTACTCAGGGAAAATAAGGTGAAGGCTATTAGTTCGTGGAGAGACGGTTCACCAGGGTGTGTTTGGATAGGGGGTGCTTTTGTACCTCTTTGGTGATTGGTCTATCTGGGAATTCTGATCTGAGCATTTCGACTACAGAAGCTCTTGCTCTGAAACAAAGGACTTGAAGTGCGCATCAACAAATCAAGAGTTGACAAGGCCCCCCAAATGCCTAAGATAGTGAAGTGGTGTTTGTCATGTCTTTGTAGAGGTGACTTTCACAGCATTCACCTTTGGATAACTCTGCCCGCGTTGGCGAAATTATTCTAGTGATTCCCTCTCCCAAAAGAGTAGACGCCGTGGAATCGATTTTTTCACTCAGTAGAGTTCATCAACGCTGCATATCCTCGGCTGTGCCGGGGTTCGAACCCCTGACATCTGACATGCGAGACTCGCATATCACCACTAGCCCACAGTACCCGGTGGACGCACCTGACTTTTCACCTCTGAACAGACGAACATGGGAATGCTCGAGCAATAGGACTAGCGATGTACCCGACAGCTCCTTGTTAGCAGTGAGATTTGAATCCTGAATATATGACTGGACATGCGACATGTGAGCATGTGTAGTCTTGAGCGACGTCGTTGGTTTGCCCAAAGTCTCGAAAGATGACTCAGTAACTGCTCTAGTGGTACTGAATTCACTTCTCTGTCAGGTAGTCCCGACGACTGTCGAAACTTGAATATCTGATATCCTGAGTTCCAATCATTGTATGACCAGTGTTATGTGTTGCTGATGAGCTCTGATGGGAACGAAGCGCTTGTCCACTGTTTTCTGTCTTTAATTTAGACTCACCAGAATAACTGAGTCACAACAAACAGAGGCGGAAAAACCACAGAGTTGTGAATGCATACTCTAAAACTTTCGCGGCTGTATTCATCGATTGCTATACTGCCTTATTCTTCAGTAATCAACATATGAATCATCTCAGGACAGTCCTTTCCATTAACTCTCCTCGAAGAGGTGAGAGGTTCTCTTAACAGTGTTCAAGTCACCAAAATATGGCTCCCTAGCTCCCTAGAGTGCAGTCACTCCCGGCTGATTACTGTGTACACCACAGTGCTGCCAATCACGGAAGATTTGCACTCAAGACTTTGAGCAATGTATTCCTTAAACCAGGTACTTTCAAAATGGCTCCTTGCCAGTTCACAGAGGTCCATTTGCTGTGTTCAATTCAACGAAGGTCTTTCATCTAACAGGCTACTGGGAGTACTTTTGAATGCCGTTCAACGCGTGAAAGGCTACTAAATATGCCTGGTGAACCCAGTGCTGTAAGGGTAGACAGCTAGCAGTGTAATTCACAGTCGATTGTAACGCGCTTCCGTGTATCAAATGTTTACTTGACGTTTATATCTAAACTGTTTACATGGCTTCGTTGATACTAACAAAAAATGTTTATCAGTCTGTGGCATCAGCCATACCATATTTTGTTTAGGTGTCAGACTGATCGGGGCTTGTTGAAATTTATGGTCGAGATTTTCGAGAATCGCTCAGAATCACGCCACTGTGTCCATAATCCAGGTCAGTTAAACCAGTTTTTTTCTGTCAGGTAATGCCGCCACGCGGGAACGAACATTCGGTGACGAAATCGAGACTGACATGTGCTGTCGAACCCATGATCGATGTTTTGAAAACATCCAGAGTCTGACGAGTAAATTCGGATACTACAACCCGTCGCCAGTAACAATTTCCAATTGTGAATGCGATGATGAGTGAGTGAATCTAGTTTTTCCATAGATTTCCCTCGATTCAACTGCCGATTTGTGTACTTGCGTGCGTGCGTGCGTGTGTATGTGCGTACGTGTACGTGTGCGTAGGTGCGCCCTTGCGCGTGCTGTTCAGCGGGCTGACGATGCCACTGTGTCCAATCATGGCAAACCACAGCATGCATGCGGAACTGACTCCGGTTTCGGTTCAGACGTATTGCGCTTGAACTGTATTTCAGGTCAGCCCATCTGGCATGTTAGACCTTCTGGAATGTTCAGCCTGCAACGATGCCAGAAGTGATTTTCTGCGGCTACCACTACACGGACCAGACTGATTACTGGCTGGACTTGTGTATGACTTCATTGCAGCTGGTGAGTGGCGAGGGCCACCGGGCTACCACTCGTGCATTGTGTGAGCTTTGAGTGCTCAGTCGTCTCCACAGGAATCAACACCTACGGAGAACCGGTGGAACAGAACAGTAGTTTTAGAACTTTTTTCCCCTATTCAGCACTCTTCGTTCATATTCTCCCGGTTTTAAAATAGATGCAGAGATTCCAGACTGTTCAGGTTGCGATCCAGTGTAAACCAGGTGATCAGCCGCTTGTGATCGAACGGTTCATCCTAGCAATTGGGAAGAGGTCGATTCGAAAATCCCCATTGGAGTTTCGTGGGACGAGCACTGCTGCTGAGTCCCAAAGGGGATGGGACACTTGTACAGTCATTCTCGGCTTTCACTATGAATTGGCTTCACGAAATCTCGGTTAAACGTGTGATGCTCCCTATCATATATGTGGGGCGATATGGCCCAGTGGTTAGAGCACGGATTTACTGACCGGAAGGTCCATGTTTCGAACCAGACCTCAGTCTCTCGACTTCTCCTGTCCAGCCTTGAACAGTACCCAGCCCTCATGTTTTCTTCGAGTGACATGGTATCTGGGCACCGAAAAGATGTTACAGCTAAACGATTGTCTTTTTATCATTCATGTGGGGCCTATTGGTGTGGGGTCCACAACCAATGCAAAAACTACTTTCTTAGTCAAGAAAAGTGAGCCATTCAGAGCACATGTATTTCCAAAAATGTGGAGGAATATTGAGCCTTCATCAGCCTCTACTACTTAACCTCATATGGTCTGACTCCGCATAGGTGTGTATAGGTAAGCTCTGCTAGGATATATGGCAACCGATCTCAAGAAAATCACATCTTTTCCCATTGGCGAGTTTAGTGGACCTCCTGGTCATCTGCTCCAAAATCAAGCTATCCCACAATGGCTACTTGCCTCTTGCCTAGGAACTCAGTCCTTTATAGGTCTGACATTACCAGACCATGGTACCAGATCTGTCCAATGGTACTATAAGCTGCTCCGTAGCTGAGTAGTGCTCAAAAAACCCCTGATTGGATGATCACGGAATAACGCACCACTGTTTCCAAACAAGGATGAGATAGTGCTGCAGTGCTTCTCCTATCAAGGTTGACTTTACTTGAAAAATGAAGTCCAGATGGGTACCTCCAAAGACCTCACTGCCCATAATATCTTAGTTGCTCCCGGGGATAGTTTTACGGATCGCGGTTGTCATATTATCTCAGCAAGTACGATGCTGCCCCCCCCCTCATGGTTCCGAATTTCAACCAAAGTACCTGCCGGTTCATGTGAGGCTAGGATATCATCTCACCATT